TGTACTACCCATAGGTAGTGCCGTGACTAATTAAATACATTAGTTCAATCACTTGTCGATGTCACACTCGTTCTGTTTAGAGTGCCAGTAGCGATAGTGTCATAATAGATTGTATCCAACCTCGGCGTCTTCCGCCTTAACACAACAACAGACTTCACCTACGGTTCTATTTGTATGTCTTCATCCTCACTACGATGTCTACCATGTAGTGTGTTTCTCCACACATCTTCGATGGGGTAGCTAGCCACACACCTTATCTGAATATCTGTGCCGTGCATGCGGAAGGGGGTGTAGAACATGAAATTCTTGTGAAACCATCAATCTGCCCAATACACACGAACAGAGATTTGATGACATTAGATTGATATGTGATGACATCTTACGGTGTGAAATATCCAACCTTTGTTGGTGACATTGCCTTCTCCGATAACAATGCCAACACCGATATTTGATGTGACAAAGCACGTCTCCAATGTGAGCGGATATGGAAGAGGTCCAAGGGTATTGTAAGACCGTAGCTGAAGTACAGAATGGCTACAAGCCAGAATGTGAGGAGGTAGAGGAGGAAGGGTTTGCGGATGCAGGTGAGGAAGTGGTTGATTTCTTTGAGGAGGTTGTAGTTATATGATGGATGGTAGTAGTTGAGTGAGTAGGTGATGTCATGTGGTTGTGTGTAGTTGGTGAGTAGCACTAGTGGAGTTAGTAGGTGGTGAGTGTATGCGAGGCGCCAATGCGAGAGGATGTGAAGGAGGTCCAGGGGGAAGAGTAGTGCGTAGAGGAGGTAGATGATGGCGAGTAGCCAGAAGGTGACGAAGAGGTTGATAGCTGGGAGGAGGTTGTAGTTATATGATGGATGGTAGTAGTGGAGTGATTAGGTGATGTGTCGAATAGAGTGAGTATTAGATTACTGTTTGAAGTATGTGGTGTTATGTGGTTGTGTGTAGTTGGTGAGTAGTACTAGTGGTAGTAGGTGGTGAGTGCAGGCGAGGCGCCAGTGCGAGAGGATGTGGAGTAGGTCAAGGGGGATGAGTAGTGCGTATGTTAGGTAGATGATGACGATGAGACAGAAGGTGACGAAACGGTTGACTTCGTCGAGGAGGTTGTAGTTATAGGATGGATGGTAGTAGGTGAGGTGAGTAGGTGATATCATGTGCTTGTGTGTAGTTGTTAAGTAGTAATAGTAGTGTAAGCACGGCAGTGCGTAGGTGTGATCGTAGGTGTAGAACGTCGAGTGGTATTGTTGGTGAGTATGTTAGGTAGGTGATGACGAGTAGCCAGAAGGTGAGGTGGAGTAGTGGGTAGTGGAGTGAGTAGGTGATGTGTCGAATAGAGTGACTATTACATTACGGTGTAAAGTACAATGTAGTAGGTGCGGGTATCTTGTGGGCGAGTAGATGCAGTGGTAGTAGATGATGACTATAGGCGAGGCGCCAATGCGAGAGGATGTGAAGGAGGTCCAGGGGGAAGAGTAGTGCGTAGAGGAGGTAGGTGATTGCGAGTAGCCAGAAGGTGAGGTGGAATAGTGGGTAGTGGAGTGAGTAGGTGAGGTGTCGAATAGAGTGACTATTATATTACGGTTTGAAATATGTGATATCATGTGGTTGTGTGTAGTTGGTGAGTAGTATTAGTGGTGATATCACGGCAGTGCGTAGGTGTGATTGTAAGTGTAGAACGTCGAGTGGTATTGTTAGTGAGTGTGTTAGGTAGGTGATGGCGAGTAGCCAGATGGTGACTAAGAGGTTGATTGCTGAGAGGAGCTTGTAGTTATATGATGGATGGTAGTAGTGTAGTGAATAGGTGATATCATGTGGTTGTGTGTAGTTGGTGAGTAGATGCAGTGGTAGCAGGTGGTGGGTGTAAGCGAGGCGCCAATGCGAGAGCATGTGGAGTAGGTCCAGTGGGAAGAGTAGTGTGTAGAGGAGGTAGGTGATGACGAGTAGCCAGAAGGTGACGAAGAGGTTGATGACGGAGAGGAGGTTGTCTGTTGTTAATGGATGGTAGTAGTGGAGTGAGTAGGTGATGTCATGTGGTTGTGTGTAGTTGGTGAGTAGATGTAGTGGTGATAGCACGGCAGTGCGTAGGTGTGACTGTAGGTGGAGAATATCGAGGGGGAAGAGTAGTGTGTAGAGTAGGTAGATGATGGCGAGTAGCCAGAAGGTAAGGAGGTATAGTGGGTAGTGGAGTGAGTAGGAGGGATGTCGAATAGAGTGAGTATTAGATTACGGTGTAAAGTACAATGTAGTAGGTGCGGGTATCTTGTCGGCGAGTAGATGCAGTGGTAGTAGGTGCTGAGTGTAGGCGAGGCGCCAATGCGAGAGGATGTGTAGGAGGTCCAGGGGGACGAGTAGTGCGTAGAGGAGGTAGGTGATGACGAGTAGCCAGAAGG